GGGCATCATTTGTGTGGAGGGTATGAAAGGTGGCCCAGTACATATCGATTATAATTGTGTGCCCAGTGTAGTGTATACTCACCCAGAAGTAGCGTGGGTCGGCAAGTCTGAGGAAACTCTCAAACAAGAGGGTGTCGCCTATAAAGTTGGTAAATTTCCATTTTTAGCTAATTCGCGTGCTAAAACCAATAATGAGACAGATGGATTTATAAAAGTTTTGGCTGATAAGACTACGGATCGTATTTTGGGCACGCATATGATTGGTCCCGTAAGTAAAAGTGAACAGAAGATTTTTTTTGTTAAACATGACTTCGCTTACTTTTGTTCTATAGGTGGTAGGTGAACTTATCAACGAAGCTGTTTTAGCGATTGAATATGGCGCGGCTGCTGAAGATGTTGCTCGCGTCTGCCATGCCCACCCGGTAAGTTTTGATTAAAAGAGTAACAAGATTAGATTACTTTTTTAAAACAGGGATTTTTGATTTATCACTTTCCTTTTAGACGTGCTCTGAAGCCCTGCGCGAAGCGAATGTTGCCGCTGCTTTCGGTAAACCCATCAACTTTTAAGTTTTATAAATTCTGCTACTCTTCAATTTGCCTTAAGTTATTATATATTAATTATAATAAAACGACAACAATAACCATATGCTTGAAAAGAATTTTCTTTTCCAACAATAAACTTTTCCAATTTCCTCGAAGGTGGTGGCTGGTAGTATAAACAGAAAGTCGTTGATCTCTTGGGAGCTTGGGTAAATTTTATAATTAAAAAAAAAAACTATAATTTAAAATCGCTAGAGACGTAATTACAATAAAAATTTCCAGATCTGTGTATAATTGCTCTAAAAATAAATTATTTGAAAAATTCTCGCTTTATGCGGGAACAGTAATATGAAAAACTTGGAAAAATTTAAATATTTCATTGTACCCTTCAAGCAAATAACTAAATATACAAAACCTTACGTTCCGAAATAATGAAGAATCTATGCGCTCAAGCCGGAACTTTTTCAAACTTGCCTGGTCTTCGTCGCACTTATTGATAAAAGTGATCTATGCGTGACATCCTTTATGCCCACAAAACAAACTAGTAAAACTGTTCGGCCCTTATCAATTTGGTAAGACCGACACTGCTTTTTATTTTTATGAAATTATTTCTATGTGGCGGCTTAAAGATTGCCAGACAGTTCGTACTGAATAAGTAGCAATCTATCAGAGCTTTACATTGTCTTTCGATGCCTTGGTTAGTTTGGAACTACTGAAAGGAACAAAGCACAACAATGTACTTCATGATCAATAGGTCAATATACCCTCGGTATGGATTTCACCACTTATAATGATTTTAATATAACCTCAAGTCAGCATTAAATGAAAGGAATTTCTAATCGTAGTTTAGAAGTGAGAGCTTAAACTCCTCCCGTCGAGATTTAAAATATTCCAATTCCGATATGGCTTGTAAAATATTTGCATCATTTTCTTTCGATCAAAAATCTAATAAAATTTTCGTATTTGGGCACACGCTGAAGAATAACTGTGAAAGCTCTCCTTAAACCGTAGTTCGTTAAAAAATAAACGTTTTTTCAATAGCTGTTGATGTTACTGCAAATCGGTGAAAAAATGTTGAAATTGACATCACTTTTGTAATTGTCAAAACTGACAGACGGCCTATGAAAAATTTTAAAATCTATAAAAATTTTCTACATATTGGAAATTGCTTATATATTTTTCAGAATTTTTACGTTAATATATTTAGAAGCCCTATAAAAGAAAGAGAATCATGAAACGCCTATTATTGCAATCTGCAAAAAAAATATACTGGCGCCAGCCTGCAGCGAGTTTATCGTTGATGCGTATGTTAGAAAGGCCGACGGTTCTAGAGGATACCGTAAGTTACACAAATTTCAGTTTGTTCTTGGTAATTTAACGTGTATATATAAATTTAAAAAATCAATTAGGGTCCAAATTTTCCACGAAAAATTTTTTCCGGCATTCAGCCTTCTGGTTCATTGCATTTGGGTAACTATCTGGGTGCCATACAGAAATGGATACGTTTGCAAAATGCTCAGGAAAGTGTAACGTTTTGTATTGTAGATATGCATTCGATAACATTACCCCAGGTATGCTGTATTTTTTTAATATTATAAATTTAAATAAGTTTCATTGGGAGATCAATGTTTTATCTAACTATGTCAACATTTCTGTTTAAGTGTCCCGTCGCTTTACGAGAAAATATATTTGAAATGGCTGCCACAATATTGGCTTGTGACATTAATCCTGACTATTCAACGCTTTTTGTACAGTCTACCGTACCGGAGCATATGGAACTGTGTTGGATTTTAAGCTGTTTGTGTACAATGCCACGTTTGGGCCATTTACCGCAATATAAAGAGAAAGCAAAAATGGTTAAAGATGTTCCACTAGGTCTTTATGTATATCCAATACTTCAAGCGGCTGATATTTTGCTATACAAGTAAGTCTGCTTGATTTTACACAGTTACGGAGATTATGCCCACTTGAATGAGAATCTCATCCGTTAGCTGATCTTAGTAATCTCATTGAAATTGCCACCTCTTTATTTTTTCCTTTTAAGAGCTACGCATGTGCCAGTGGGAGAAGACCAGTTGCAACACATTCAATTGACTCAGCATTTGGCAAAAAATTTCAATAACAGATACGGGCCGACATTCCCTATCTGTCAAGCGATGATTGAAAATCAAGATGCGGCGCGTGTGCGTTCTTTGCGCAATCCTTCCAAAAAAATGTCGAAATCTGATTTAGATTCACGTGCCACTATTAACATTAGAGATGAACCCGACGTTATAGTTGACAAAATTAAAAAAGCTGTAACCGATTTCACCTCTGATGTGTCTTATGATCCGAACAGTAGACCAGGGGTTTCAAATCTGGTAGCAATCCACTCATTGGTTACTGGTGTCAGTATAGATCAAGTGTTGGAAGATGCCAAATGTCTCGACACAGGTCGCTATAAAATGCGTGTAGCTGAAGCGGTGGTGGAACATTTGAAACCTATGCGTATGAAAATTGATTTTCATCTCAGCCGAAGGCAAGAGTTAATTAATGTCTTGCAAAAGGGCGCTGATAAAGCCCGTGAGCAAGCCCGTGAAACTTTGGCTGAGATTAGAGAAAAAATAGGTTTAGGTATTTCTCCAGTTATACCGCAATCTTTGACAAAGCTAACAGAAGTTGCAGAACCGCCAACTATCGACAAAGATAAAGTTAAAGAAGAGGTGGTCATTGAGGAGAAAAGCGATATGCCAGTAGTACCGAAGCAGAGAGTACGTTTGGAAAAGAAACGCTCAGCTGCGTCTGAATATCGTCTGGCTCCAGAATTCGAAACTTCGGTTTCGCTCTTACCACCTGTTAAAAAGTCATCTACAGTTAGCACAGGTGTTTCTACAACTGCGCCTTCAAAAGCTGCGCATAAACTTCAACTGCGTATAATCCCACCTGAAGAAACGAAATCTGTGATAGCGACTGAAAGTGAAGTGGCGGTAAAGTCGAATAATTAGTTCTTGTTCATCTGCAAATATGTTAGAGCCAATAAATTCGTTTTCATGTGATCATGTTCTCTTCAATTTATTATTACGTTATCGGATGTTGTTACCTACTTTTCAATTTTGAAAAATTTTTATTTTTTTGATTCAAATCACAAATTATTTCGTGTATTTACAAATATAAAAAAAAAAAAAATTAAATATAATTCTTTGAAACATTCAAACGATAATTTTTATTGATTATAAGATAAATTTTATGTATTTAGTAAGTTAGCATTTTGCAATTTTTCACAAAATTCTTGTAGTTGCACACAAGCTTTTCATTATCGAACCACATACCACGTTCACAACGGTGTTCAATGGGTTTGCCATTTCGGCAGACATAGTACTTAGCGCAGTCTTTCTCATCTCTTATATAACTGCCGTTAGACTCCTTTCCACATCTAAGGTCAAGTATGACAGGTTTTACAGTTCTTGGATCGGGGCCGTTTATTCTTGTTTCCGTAGGTATTGATGAAGTGGGAATAAGTTTCGTTTGGAGTTTTGAAGTTTGGGTGTTGGACGAGGTCACCGAAGCGATCTTTCTTTTTTTACAGGTGCAAGGTTTTTTAGTTGTTGAGGGCTTACATGGTTTGGTCGTGGTAGTCGTTTCGCAAGGTTTGGTGGTTGTAGATGGTTTACAGGTGGTAGTAGAAGGAAAGATGGTCGTTGTAGGAGAAGTATGTGAGTCAGTGGATGTGCTATCTGGCGAAGTGGTTGGTGACGTAGATGTGTAAATTATAGTCGTAGTAACGGTAGGCGATGTAGTGGTGGTAGCAAGCTGGGTGGTAGTGATAAGAGCCGATGTGGTAGTATAAGCCGTGGTAGTGCTAGTTGCTTCGTTGGAAGTAGTCGTGGGTAAATTGGACGATGTGGTAGTAGAAGGTAGGTTGGTCGTTGTAGGAGAAATAGGTGAGTCCGTGGATGTGCTTTCTGGCGAAGTGGTTGGTGACGTAGATGTATAAATTATAGACGTAGTAACGGTAGGCGATGTAGTGGTGATAGCAAGCTGGGTGGTAGTGGTAGGAGCCGATGTGGTAGTATAAGCCGTGGTAGT